GCTATCCATGGCTCCCTTCATGGACCCAGTTCTGAGGGATGGCTTACTCAATTTCATGGCCAGTATTTCCTCTTTGTTCAACAGCTTTCCTGGAGCCACAGATAAACTGTACCTAACTTCCACTGATGGAGTGAACACACGAGAAATTGTACCTGTTAGTAAAAGAAAGAAAGAAGAAAGAAAAAGAGAGGGAAAAAGAAGGAAAGAAAGAAAGAAAGAAAGAAAGAAAGAAAGAAAGAAAGAAAGAAAAGGGAAAGGAAAAAAGAAAGAAAATAAAAGAAAGAAAGAAAGAGAAAGAAAAAGAAAGAAAAGAAAGGAAGAAAGAAAGAAAAGAAAGAGAAAGGGAAAAAAGAAAGAATAAAAGAAAGAAAGAAAGAGAAAGAAGAAAGAAAAGAAAGAGAAAGGAAGAAAGAAAGAAAGAAAAGAAAAGAAAAGAAAAAAGAAAAGAAAGAAAGAAAGGGGAAAGGAAAAAAGAAAGAAAATAAAAGAAAGAAGGAAAGAAAGAGAAAGAAAAAGAAAGAAAAGAAACAGGAAGAAAGAAAGAAAAGAAAGAGAAAGGAAAAAAAGAAAGAATAAAAGAAAGAAAGAAAGAGAAAGAGAAAGAAGAAGAAAGAAAAGAAAGAGAAAGGAAGAAAGAAAAGAAAGAAAGAGAGAAATTGTACTATCAAAAAGAAACTGTTCTAAATCTGAACCAGGTCAAAAGTTTATAGCCTGTTTGAGTGGCTACTTCTTCTGGGAATAATTTACGGTCTGGACCTTTCGTTGGTCAACGTGGAGTTTTCTGGTCGACCCTAGGAAATTTACTCATAGACCCTTCCGCTCCCCTTCGGAGGGCAATGTTGTCTAAACAGTGAACTCCTTGCTAATAAATTCCTTTATTAGTTGTCTGTATGCCCTCTCTCTGCCTTCAAGATCTTTTGTTTGGCTCAGTGGGGCCCCCCTCTCTTTGCTGGATGGGATGCTGCCCGGCTCACGAATCATTGGGTCTTCACATTTACTTGGTAGAATTTTGATTTTTAACCAGCTGCTCAATCTAACCTTGTCCTTGTCTTCGTTATTGGTTTCGTCATTCTCTCCGGGGCCTGAGCTTGGAAATTTGACTGATACCTGGCACATAGATGCTTGTCGTAGTTAGAGGACATTTATAAAAGCGGAAGTCTGGGGGCACGTGGGTGATTCAATCGGTTGAGCATGAGACTTGGGCTCAGGTCATGGTCTTGTGGTTGGTGAGTTCAAGCCCCCCTCAGGCTTTCTGCTGTCAGCACAGAGCCTGCTTCAGATCTTCTGTCCCCCTCTCTGTGCCCCTCCCCTGCTTGTGCTCTCTCAAAAATAAATAAACATTAAAAAAAGAAGAAGGAGAAGAAGTCCATGGGTGCCTGGGTGCCTCAGTCGGTTAAGCGTCCAACTTCAGCTCAGGTTATGACCTCGTAGTTCGTGAGTTCGAGCCCCGCATCTAGCTCTGTGCTGACAGCCCAGAGCCTGGAGCCTGCTTTGGATTCTGTGTCTCCCTCTCCTTCTGCCCCTTCCCCACTCGCACTCTGTATCCCTCTGTCTCTCAAAAATAAACAAGCATTAAAAAAAAATTTTTTTTTAAAAGTCCGGCTTCATGGCACTCCTCTGCTTAGACATCTTCAGTCCCTCCCTCTTGTGGCATCGACTTTGACCTCTGAGCTGGTGTGCAGGCTCCAACCAGTGTCCTTTCTTTCCACATCACTCGGTCACATGCCCCAGACCTGGGGGTGCATGTGTGTTTCGTCTTGGGCGGTTGGCTCCGATCCTGGAGAGTTTGGCCTGAAGCCCTGCATCTGGGGACACCCACGAAAGACTCGGCACCCTCGTGGTCCCTGGGGACAAGCACAGGAAGCAGCGGCAATTTTCTGTCACCCCTGCCCTCTCCTGTAGCACCTTAGGGGTGCAGGCGTCCCCCAAACAGGCGCCACGCTTCCCCACCTCTGTTCCCATCGTATAAACCTCTAAAATCCCTTCCTCAGCTTCTAAGTCCAGCTTATTTACCCTTCAAGGCGTGACTGAAATGACATTTCTGCCTGAAACCTTCCCCAGTTTTAACGGATTGTTCCCTCCCGTGATCTGAAAGCTCTTTGTTGGTGCCTTTCCATCTGGCTGTATCATTGCTGGTGTCTAACCATCTCCCCAGCTAAATCACGAGTCTCTAGAAGGTGCTTCTGCTTGGTCGTGTGTTCCTCCCCCTGCCCGTCAGAGGGCCTCTCATGGAGCAGGTGCTAAAGGCTGCCTGAGCTGCTCAAGGCCATGGGGTCAGATGTCACCCCCAGGCTGCCCCTCCTTCCCCTGCCCACGGGGCCTCCAAGAGCACTCTTGGGGCCTCTTTGAAGCACACCCCAAACAGGGCTCCGTCAGAAGGCTTGGGTTAGGGGCGCCTGGGTGGCTCGGTCGGTTGAGTGTCTGACTCTT